ACTGAGCCACCCAGGCGCCCCTATAATAATTTTTTAAAGGCAGCTAAAAAATTGATGGTTGGACATAGGTATAGAATTCTTTCAAAAGTAATTTTCATAAAAGTCAGAAAAATGCTTGCCTCTTGTGGGGGCATTGACTGGAAAGGGACATGTAACTTTCTGGGATGATAGAAAAATTTTTTTTATCTTGGTAGAGGTGCTTTATATTATGAAAAGTAAACAGTAATAAATGTAAAAGTAACAAAATCGCTAATGCAATTTTATATATTCCTGTGATATTTGTAATTGACAGGCACCGCCTTAGTGAGATTCCCAATGAAAAGTTTCGATTATACAAATTACAGATGATGGGAAAGATGGAAAAATATCTTCATTCCAGAAGGTGTAGGCGAAAGTATGTATTACTTGTTTTATATTAATAACAGATTTATGAATGGTGCTCTTTTAAGAAAAAGTCTTGCAAAATAATTAGAAGTACTTAGAAACAATATTTTGTTGGTGTTACATATGTGCTGAATTTTTAAGGCGACTTTCCTTGTGCCTCAGTAAACTGAAGCCAGATAATGAGATCCCAGGTCAATCAATTAGTGATGATTTCACCTCATTATTTTCAGCAATGATTTTAACATATATGGTTTTGTTCTTTTATTTAATTTTAAATTTTCTCTTGGGTAGACTCATCTTGTCTCATTTTGAAGACAAACAACTACGAAAGGCCTCCATGGGTATTATGGGAACTGAAAAATGCTGTGATAATTGCAGGTCCAGGTAAAGATTTTTTCTTCTAAATGGAGATTCTAAAAGTCTTTGTTTCTCTTCCTTTTCAAATATGTATATATTTTTTTAAGTAGGCTCCATGCCCAATGTGTGGCTTGAACTCACAACCCTGAGATCAAGACCTGAGATCAAGAGGCAGATGCTCTACTGACTGAGCTACCCAGGCACCCTGCAAATAATTTTTAATTGAGTTTTTGTTGAATGATATGTATTACAGTTTTAAAAAACAAAATAATGAATTTATTTAAATAGCAGACAAAGCAGACAGTATTAATTTGCTTTACAAATAGATAAACCAATAAAATGGTGGACCTAAATCTAAATATATCAATATTTATATTAAGTATAAATGGTCCAAAATCACCATTTAAAGGCAGACATTGTTAGAATTGGTTTTAAATATGCCCCAACTAGGAGCGCCTGGCTGGCTCAGTCAGAGGAGCATGCAACTCTTGATCTTGGGGTCATGAATTTGAGGCCATGTTGAGTATAGAGATTACTTAAAAATAAATAAATAAACTTAAAAAAAAAATGACCCAACCATATGCTGTCTATGAGAAATCCACAAGTATAATTATATAGGTATAACAACTTAAAATAATAGGATAACAACTATATACCATGAAAACACTAATCAAAAGAAATCTGGAGTTATTTTAATATTGGACAGTGGAGACTTTGGAGAAAGAATATTATCAGGGTTAAAGAAAGACATTACATGATAAAAAGGTAGTTTACCAACGAATCACAGTTCTCCAGACACACACACACACACACACACACACACACACACACACACACTTACACAGATTGATTTTAAGGAATTGGCTGATGGCAGTTGTGGGGGTTCGCAAGTCTGAAATTTGTAGGGCAAGCTGGCAGGCTGGAAAGTCATGCAGGATTTCTGTCTTAATAGTCTTGAGTCACAATTCCTTGTTCTGAAGCAAACCTCAGTCTTTGCTCTTTAAGGCCTTCATTTGTTTGGATGAGACTCACATTATCAAGTAGTCTGCTTAAAGTCAACTGATTGGAAGTGGCAATCCCACCTACAAAATATTTATAATAGCATCTAGATTAGTGTTTGACCAGACAGCTGGGCACCATAGCCTAGCCAAGTTGACACATCAAGTTAACCATCATATCCAAGAACACATAATCCTAAATGTGTATATACTTAACAAAAGAACTGACAGAATTAAAAGGAGAAATACGGAAATCCATAATTACAGTTGGCGACTTCAACATCTCTCAGTAATTAATGGAACTAGTAGAGGAAAATCAGTAAGAAGATAGAAATGAATAGGACTGTTGACAAACTGGATCTGATTAACTTTTATAGAACACTCCACGCAACAATAGTGGAATAAACATTCTTCCCAGGTGCTGATGGAATGTTCACAAATGTAGATTATATTCTGGGCCATAAAGCAAACCTTAATACATTTAAAAGAATTCTGTTCATATGGAGTGTGTTTTCTGACTATAAAGGAATTAAACTAGAAACCAATAACAGAAAGGTATCAGGAAAGTCTCCAAACACTCGAAGATTAAATAGCACACTACTAAGTAACCCATGAGTCAAAGAGGAGGTCTCAAGGTCAACTGGAAAATATTTTGAGCCGAATGAAATGAAAATACAAAATGTATGGGATGCAGCTAAAGCAATACTGAGAGGGAAGTTTAGAGCATTAAATACTTAACAATAAAAGAAAAGTTTCAAAGCTGTAATTAAGCTTCCACCTTAGGAAGCAAATAAGAACAAAGTAAACTAAAAGGAAGCAGAAAGAAGGAAATAATAAAGATAAGAGCATAAATGAAATAGAAAACAGAAAAACAAAAGAGAAAAACCAAAGAACTCAAAAGCTCATTCTTTGAAAAGGTCAATAAAATTGGTAGAAACTTCTAACAAGAAAAAAAAAAGAGGATACAGAGATTACGAATACCAGGAATGAAAGGAATTTCACTACAGGCCCAATAGACATTAAAAGAATCATAAGGAAACACTATGAATAACTCAGTGCATGTACATTCAGTAATTTAGAGGAAACAGACCCAATTCCTTGATAACCTCAAACTAACAAAATTCAGCCACAATGAAGTAGATAACTTGGATAGTTGTACGACTTTAAAGAAATTAGATCTGTTAAAAACCTCTGGAAATAAAATTCCCTAGCCCAAATGGTTTAAATGGCAAATTTTACCAAACTTTTTAAAAGAAGAAATAATACCAATTTTACAGTATGATCCCATTTATATGATATTCTCTCAAAAGTAAGACTATACTATAGGGATGAAGAAAAGATCAGTGGTTGCCAGAGTTTAGAGTGAGGTGGAGGGTGTGATTACGAAGGGCTAGCACAAGGGACTGTTTACTGCGATGGATTTGTTGTGTGTCCTGATTGTGATGGTAGCTGATTGTGGGGGTTGGATGAATCTATGCTTATGAATCAATAGATGTGTTTAAATTCGTAAAACTTTACATATGCACAAATACACAGTCAATTTAACTGCATATTAACTGAAAAAATAAAAACAAATGATATAACTAGTTGAGTTAGCTATACCTAGGCATGGTAGCTGTGTTACTATTAGACAAAAAAATAATTACTAGGGATGAAGATGATCTCTGGTGACAAAAAGTTGCTTCTCCAAGAGGACAGAATTGTTCTATGCACCTCAAAAAAACCCCAAAACCCTACAAATATATAAAGCACAAACTGTCAGAACAGCTGGAAGAAACCAACAAATCCACCATTAAAGTAGGAGAGTTTGATATAATTTTTGGTTATTGTTAGGTTAAGCAATCCAAAAATGAGTAAGCTTTAGGAAATTCGGTCAACATAGTAACAAGTTTGATTTGCCACACACTTGCTATTTAGAACCCTATACTAAGCATTTAGAACAATGTATCTCAAACATTTTCACTTCATGATCCACAAAGCTAATATAGTATCTATATAGCACACTAGGCTATGTACTACTCGGGCCCGGGTTCTGTCCAGAACTGTGATTAATTATACAGCACCCCTGCAGTCCAATAGCAGCACACTGGCTGGGAAGCACTGAATTAGAAACTATGCTTCTCAAACATACGTGAAACATTGATAAAAATTTGACCCTGTGTTAGAGCAGGGTTGGCAAACTGTGGCTTGTAGACCAAAGCCACTTTGCTGCCTGTTTTTGTGGATGAAGTTTTCTTGGAATACAGCATACCCTTTTGTTTGTATATTGTCTGTGGCTGTTTTTGCAGAGTTGAATGCCCAGTAGCTGTTACACAGAGACACAAAACCTAAACTATTTGCTGTCTGGCCCTTTACAAAGACGTTTTCTGGACCTTATACTAGACTGTAGCGTTGTTGCAAAAGTTTTCAATGTATTGGTATTAAACACACCACTTTTTCTGATCAGAATGAAATTGAATTAGAAGGAAATAAGAGGATAAACAAAGAAAATTCTCATTCGTTTGGGAATTAAAAATAACACTTTTTAAAAAATTTATTTATTTTTTTGATGTAGTGTTCCATGATTCATTGTTTGCGTATAACACCCAGTGCTCTGTTCAATATGTGCCCTATTTAATACCCATCACCAGGCTAACCCATCCCCCCCTCCCCTCTAGAACCCTCAGTTTGTTTCTCAGAGTCCACAGTCTCTCATGGTTCATCTCCCCCTCCAATTTCCCCCCCTTCAT